TAGCGCGGCCGCCATCTTGTCGAAGCAGAAGTCGAGGGCGCCGCGGCAGGACACAAGCAGCGCCAACGCAGCACGGGCCGAGAGGCCGGGAGGGGAAAGCGGGGCGGACAACTCAGGAGCTATTCTCGGCCTAAGCCGAGCCGCGCACGCAGGTGAGACGCCGTCGCTCGCGGGCCGGGGCAAGTGGCAGCAAAGCGGGGACCCGTTAGACCAGGCCGCGGGATCAACCCCCGTCCGACCACTCCTTCGCGGTCCCCCAGTAGTGGCCCCGGCAGCCGGGCCTTCTCTTAAAGGGACAGGACGTTTTCTTGCGGGGGGGGAACCCGCTAGTGGGGAAGGGGCAGGACTCCAGGGTCTCCCCTTTCCCATCAAATGCTTCAGCAGGGCGAGGGAGATTCCGCAGGCGAGCCTTCACTACCTCTGGCCTCGGGCAGCATGCGGTGGGCGAGCGTGTGTTGGTCACACCCAGTCCACGGTCACACGTGCGCACCTTGCTCAATGCCTGGCAATGGAAAACGAGGAAACCGCCCGGCCTGATCGGCGTCCCTCTCTGGGATACAGGATTCCTAGCCGTGGGAATGTTTGGGAGAGACTCATGCTGGTATGTTGAATGAACCTGAGATCCAAGTACAGCCGTTTATCAAGCATAAAACCAAATAAAGAGCAGTGGGCATGAAGTGTCACTTTGCATCCTGGTTTTGTCACCTTAATCAGAAAAACGAGTATGTATTTATTTAGATTAAGTAGGTTACATTTAAAAGAATGCTTCACGGAATACATCACAGGCACAGATGATACTTTGGTAGCTATTGGCATTGATTGTGCAAAATGTCTTCAACGTTTGCTAGAAACTAATAGACGTTAATGGCTGGCAATTTTACTTCTGAATTATAATTGACATTGTATATTCTATGATTAAATAGACGACTTGACCAGACCATGCAGTGTAGCATACAATGGTGGTGATCACTTCTTTAACCCTCTTATTGCAGGCATGGTCTGCATATCAGAGAAATTCTTGTGGTAAGTTGATTTGTAGGACTTGAGTGTTTCTGATCTTTAAACGAGTTTGAGTTGAGACTATGGAGTGTAAGGTAGAATTAATAAAGCTGTATAGCACATGAGAAATTATTTGAAAAAGGTGATTCAGAGTGCCTGGAGCGCAAACTCAGCACTGTGATCCCAGGAAAAGATGTGGCTGCATCACAGAATAGCAAAAAAGTACTTACATTTTTGTTCCCATGTTCTCCAAAGCACATTTTCTGAATTATTTCCCAAGTGTTCCACAGTTCTAATAATCAGAATATTTATTTGCTTTAATGAAAAACTTCATAATTAAAATTAAATCAATTTTATTCTGATTAAGCACTGAAGCACCTTATTCAGTGAAGTTGGATTAGAAATGTTGTGTTTTGGGTGTGATGTTTTGTACAATAATAAAAAAAATCTATGTGAAAGACATATTTATCACCAGCATGTTATCCCTTGGCTAGGCATTCTTGTACATGACTGAAATTTTATTCACATACCAGTGCATATACCAAACATTTGTGATTATTTCTAACTACCCAACAAACAAAATACTGTGGTGTTTTTTCCTAGAAAACTGAATAACTTTTTGAAATACTGAAAAGGAGATGCATTAATTCATTATTAAGCTTCTCATATTTCTATAATGTTTCCAGTTATATATAGGGCTTTGGTTGAGTTATTCCTTGTTAAAATATGCTGTTTTGCTTTTTTTTTTTTTAATACAGGAATTAGAGGCATGAAGGCTCAAGGAAAAAAAGTTTTTCTCAGAAATTCTTGTACGCCACTTAAAGTCACCTGTGTGAGATGGGTGGCCATATAAATCATAAAAATTAATAAAAAAGAAATATTTGTTAATATTTTCATTCTAAATTATTCATAAAATAGTTAAATGTGAAAGAAATTGAACTATATTTGAAAATACATCAAATAAAAAAATAAACACATGAAAGGGTAGAGAAGCTGGCTTGTTACAAACAGAACTCCAATTTTCAGAAATTCATGAAAATGAAAAAAATAAAGGATCTGAAAAAGTAGAAACCATTGGTAGTGTTAGCATTTCATATGCAGAAAATGAGACAGATTATACAACTTTCCTTGTTGCAAAATGTGTTTTCAGAACTTTGTCCCTGAATCCTTTCTCAGTGTTCTAAAATTAGTGTATTTATGCAGTGGAAAAAAATTCCAACATCCATAACTCTTTTTGTTTTATTATAACATTGATGGGCTTTTGTTTGCATTTTTAACTTTTTGCCTACCTGCTGCTTCTAAAAATGCAAAAATAAAAAGATGGCATATTCTTTAGAATTCAGCAACTGTGCATATATTTTTATTTTTCCTAAATTTTCAGGTTCCTCCCCAAAATACATTCTTTTAGTGGTGTTAACATTTCTGGAAATTTTAAAGATCTATAACTGAACACAATTGAGTGCATTTCTGATCATGAATTAAGGTAGGAATTCATCTCTCTATTAA